CATTACATGTTCATTACTGTTATACTATAAACACATTAAATGTTCATTACTGTTATACTATAAACACATTACATGTTCATTACTGTTGTACTCCAAACACATTACATGTTCATTACTGTTGTACTCCAAACACATTACATGTTCATAACTGTTGTACTCCAAACACATTACATGTTCATTACTGTTATACTATAAACACATTACATGTTCATTACTGTTGTACTCCAAATACATTACATGTTCATTACTGTTGTACTATAAACACATTACATGTTCATTACTGTTGTACTCCAAATACATTACATGTTCATTACTGTTGTACTCCAAATACATTACATGTTCATTACTGTTGTACTATAAACACATTACATGTTCATTACTGTTGTACTCCAAATACATTACATGTTCATTACTGTTGTACTATAAACACATTACATGTTCATTACTGTTGTACTATAAACACATTACATGTTCATTACTGTTGTACTATAAACACATCACACATTCATTAGTATTGTACTCTAAACACATCATTAAAGAGGCCAACATTTATGGGCGAATGCAACACGTCTTTGTCAAGCACTCCCAACATGGCCAATTTTGAAACCAGAAAAATCATAAATCTCTCTATCATTGCTTGTGAAGATGGTATCTTTGTACCAATTCCCATGTTCGTTGGTTGACGTACACATTAATAGTTTACAAAAACACCAAATACTGCTTTCCTTGCTGGATAATTAAACAAAAGACACAAATTCAAAGAATGTCTACATCTCTGTTTGGGACCTTAAAAAAAAGTATCTTGGTATTAAATTCCATGTAAGAGTAGTTGTCAAAAAAACCTAAAATTATGCTTTTTGTGACTTCTTGACCCCCCTACGATTACTAAAAATGGGCAAATCCAACGTGTTTGTTTGTCGGTATGTGTTGCCTGTAGAAAAGTACCTTTGTACCAAATTCAATGTAAAAGATAAAAATATGGCTTAGTAATTAACCAAAAACCCAAAAATTATGCTTTTTTGTGAACTCTGATCCCCATAAAAAGACTCCAAATGGGCAAGTCCAACTTTTTTGTATGTCAATGTGTTGGGAACATGAAAATATATATTTGTGCTAGTTTTTACCTTTATTGCTGTAACATTACCTGTTTATTATAATAGTGATCAAAACAACAAAACACATGATTTGTTTATTACTGTAGTGATCTAAACAACAAAACACATTACTTGTTTATTACTGTAGTGATCTAAACAACAAAACACATTACCTGTTTATTATAATATATTATTACTGTAGTGATCTAAACAACAAAACATATTACCTAAAGTGATCAAAACTACAAAACAAATTATCTGTTCATTACTATTGTACTACAAACAACAAAACACATTACATGCTCATTATTACTGTGCTCTAAACAAAATACATTACATACTCATTACTACTGTGCTCTAAACAAAATACATTACATACTCATTACTACTGTGCTCTAAACAAAATACATTACATACTCATTACTACTGTCCCATAAACAAATTACATTACATACTCATTACTACTGTGCTCTAAACAAAACACATTACATACTCATTACTACTGTGGTCTAAACAAAATACATTACATACTCATTACTACTGTGCTCTAAACAAAACACATTACATACTCATTACTATTGTCCCCTAAACAAATTACATTACATACTCATTACTACTGTGCTCTAAGCAAAAAACTTTTCCTATTTATGATTGTACTAAAGATCTATGTCTGAATCACAATATATGTGCTGTTTCTCGATTTGATTTAAACGTAATCCAGATTATCAGTTTAATGTGAAAATTTTATTATAAAACTTATACTAGCTCTTATTTTATCGAGGAAATCAATCATTTATTTGTAAACCTAAAAAAACATTACTGATTAGACTAAGGAAAAACAAACAAACCTACCACACCCCTGTAGCTAGCAGTAGTTGGTTGGAGCTCTTAAATACAGAAAGAACAGGTTCTCCTAGCAGAAAGTTGCAGAGAATTGTACCTGCAAAAATGGACAGCATACAAGAAAGCCAGCAAGCTAAGGGGTGTTTTCTCGAAAACAAGTGGGAACCTGTAAAAAGGGTAAGAACATATTTTACTTATTCGTTAAGTAAAATTACACACATAAAAAAATAAGGTGTTCTGTACATACAAAGATGGAGAACATTCTCCTCAGATACTGCACTTTCTTGACCCAAGATGACACTTCAATCTCTAACCTCATGTTTCCTCATCAAACTCTTCTTTCAAGGAAGTAACTAAACTTAAGTGTTATAACCCCTCAACCTTATCAGGAAGTAACTAAACTTAAGTGTTATAACCCCTCAACCTTATCAGGAAGTAACTAAACTTAAGTGTTATAACCCTTCAACCTTATCAGGAAGTAACTAAACTTAAGTGTTATAACCCCTCAACCTTATCAGGAAGTAGCTAAACTTAAGTGTTATAACCCCTCAACCTTATCAGTGAAGGCAGGAAGGAACACCCACAAAGAACCACCGTATAACTGCCCCTGGTATTTGAGGAATATACTAGGAAGTGAAATGGACATGTTAATGGTTTACCATGATTACGATATAGAGGGTAAGAAGCCCAAGTGCCTGCAGCCTCTCCTATTTACTTCCTTCTGGATCTGGGTTCTGCTTGCATAACAACCTAACAGTAGTGGAAGGAATGGGGCTGATTTCTAGGGTACATAAAGCCTTGACCACATCAGTAGTTTTCACACCTGTGTCCTAAAGAACTCAAGGCCAGAGAACTGTTCTAATAAGGTCATTTGACCATTCAGAGTCTGACCGGCCTTACATTTCAATCCTGATTTTTTCTATTTAGAACCAAGTCCTGAACCATTCTGGTTATTTTCCACTCAATTAGTTAGTTGTGTAGCTATTTTCATTTTTTGTTATGATCATTCTTGAAAAAACTTCTGCATTATGATGGAAGGAGACTACTTAAGTTTTTACTTTCAACCTCTGTGGTCTAGGAGCTGATCTGACATCCAGTGCAACAGAATCAAAGCTGATGGATTAAAACCCATTAATGCTGAGTCAGACATATAGAGGCTCTGACTGAAGCTACAAGTTGGTTAGCCTTGAAGTCTCAAGGTCCCGATGTTCCAGACTACTTGGAACCTTACAATGACCCCTGAGCCCCTGAGGGAGGGACCTGCAAGGACCAAACCACCTGACACAAGCAACACAGCAGTAGAACCTTGACTGTTTAGTGACCAGCTAAAGGTGCCCACCCCTGACCCCCATGAATATAGATATTTCATGTTACTCATTAAAAATCATCTTTCACACATTTATACAGATATTTCATGTTACTCATTAAAAATCATCTTTTACACATTTATACAGATATTTCATGTTACTCATTATGAAGAACCTTTCACACATTTATACAGATATTTCATGTTACTCATTAAAAATCATCTTTCACACATTTATACAGATATTTCATGTTACTCATTAAAAATCATCTTTCACACATTTATACAGATATTTCACGTTACTCATTATGAAGAACCTTTCACACATTTGTAAAGATATTTCATGTTACTCATTATAAAGAACCTTTCACACATTTGTAAAGATATTTCATGTTACTCATTATAAAG